TGTTTTTAATAAACAAAAAAGTCGTTTTTATTAAGTAAAATAGATTGTAAAAGATGGAGAAAATGAAGAAAGTAGACAAATTACCGTTAGATTCTCAAAGAGAATTTTTGGACATGGATACAGACGACGAAGATTTTGGTCGACAAGGTCTTTTTATCACAACTTGTTTTTTCCAACATTTCTGATAATAGGTTTATTAATAAATTAATTAGTTGTTAATTAACGCGTATACAAACAAAAGAGAGTGTGCGTACTTTCTAAATTGTTTCAGAAAGTCCCGAAACCGAAGAGGAGCAATCTTCTGAACCAATCAAACCAGTCTTTGATGAACAAGATTTAGATAAATTGGTTATTCTCTCCCAAGTTTATTTATAGATACATTCTCATATACATATCTATATGTATATTATTTTTTATTTTTCATAATCGATCTCTCATTTCATTCTTTTATAATTGTACAAAAATGTACTATCTTTACATTATATCTGACGTGAAATATATATATATATAAATATATAAAATTACTAACTAGAAAGAATATGATTTGCATTTTTATAATATATTTATCAGTTAAATCTTTCCAACAAACATTTCTATATATGGAGGATATACGTTTACACGTTATATTATTTTAGGTACAATATGTAAAAGATTTCACGATTTTTCCTTACATCAAGGGCTCCGATTGGAAAGAGGATTGTTATACAATAATTCGCGAATATTTCGAAAATCCAGCTCACACGTTATTATGTATATATTTTCAAGATGATACACTGAAGGCACGATTAAGCATCTTGGATGATAATCAAAGCGATTTCATTTATTTCTTACGAATACCTTGGCACGTGTTTACAGTCGATAATTTTCATGCCACAGTTGTCTTCGGCAGCATCAATCGTAACGCAATAATGTGCGTGTTGAAAGTAATGGAAAACATGTATGTCTCCGTCGCACGTAATAGTAGCGAGTGGCCAGAGAGTATCTTTTTTTTAACATTTAACAATGATAACTGCATTTGATGACAATTTTATCGAGACACTTTTGAAACCTAAATATTAAAATTCTAAAAATAACAAATAATTGATATTTTTAATCACAAATTCAAATTGCATCATTTTTGAAATCATTGTTCTTTAGTTTAGAGAGTTTTTCAATGTCAATCTCAAACATTTCCTTATCTCTTTAATGAGAACAGTTATCAGAAACAATCTGTTTTTAAATCTACACAATTTTCTAATGTGCTTAACTGAATGGGTTTACAAGCCGATGGGTTTAACCAAATTATATATACCGGGAGAAAATCTGTCTGATATCGCGACACTACAGAGAGATAAAAAGTCCAATTCATCCAACAATGAGACAAATGGTCTGCATATTTCTAAGGAATTGCAGGAGTCAGAAAAGGCATTGATTGAAAGATTTGAAAGAATTGTACGATATTGGATCAAACAGATACGGCAAGTATTGACAAGTACATCCACAAGCAACAGTGGACGAACTGTATTCGACGAGTTGCAATATTGGACAACGAAATGTTAGTTTCGGATGCTATTATATTTCATATTACTTAATCATAAGCGATCAGCCTTTCGGGTTTGTTACAATTTTTATTTTTGTCTCTCAAAAGAACATAAAATGTTTTATTTTCAGATTTTAATTTATGTTGTTTGCACGATCAATTATCAAATATGGAAATTCAATCGATATTGCATCTGTTAGAGAACGTTTGTTCGCCGAGCGTAGATTCCTTTCAACTTTTAAAGTTACAGCTTTGCGAAAGCTTAGAACAAGCTGCATCCAATATAATGTATCTGAATATTCTATCAGAGGCTTGTAAGAACCTGAAATGTCCAAACGAGATTGAAAAGCCCATAATGAAAATATTGTTACTGATACTGTTCATCTGGACAGAATCCCCGTTTTATAATATGTCGTATGCGATCTTTTACGTTTAATATAACATAAAAATATTTGATTATTTGCAATCGTAACATTTTAATATTTCTCACTTATTTTAAAATTATTCACATATTTAAGAAGTTGGATAACGAAACAGATTTACTTGTTTATTTTAGGAATAACATAGAAGTGCTTTGTGAAGCTATAAGCATACAAATAGTACATCAATGTAAAAATTATGTCAATTTGCAAGTAATACTAGAAGGCGATACAGAAAATGGAATAAATATACTTCGGAAGTGCATCTCTTGTTGTCAAATATATAAGACGATATATAACAAAGTATTTAAATTAAATATATGGCCAATTTTATCAAGCCTCCAACCAAGCAAAATTATTTCCTTAATAATCTTTATAACATCCAAAAATAATTAATAAATTATCCAACGTTAGCAAATATTAGTTGAAATAAAATAAATTGTATCCAAAAACTCACAAGTTTAATAAATAATTAAAAAAAATTGATAGATAAAATTGGCTGTAATTTTTAGAATAGAAAATACGAGTATTTGTTTTTTTTGGCAAAAAATTGATTGCAGGTTACAAAGATAACTACGCTTATTGAATCGAATAGTAATTGGGATGTAAACGAACAATTAATATTTAATTACATTGATACGTTTATGCAAAGATGTTATGATATCATTGAAATATGCAATACTTTAACAGTGTTTGAAAAGTAAGACGTAATATTTTGCATATGCATATTCAGAACAGTAAATATTGTACATTACTGCATGGCTTCGTATGCACTCATTCTCTCTCTCTCTCTCTCTCTCTCTCTCTCTCTCTCTCTCTCTCTCTCTCTCACACACACACACACACACACACACACACACACACACACACACACACACAAAATTATAACAGATATGTGTTATATATACAATTTTTGTAGGTGTACTAATATGGGAATGATTGGCGGTCCAAATGGTATCAAATATGATGCTTATTGTCGCCAAATAGAGAATTTATTTTCTGAAATTCTCGATGAAATAAAATTAATCCGCCACGAAATTTTAGACGTTACCAAATTTTCGTGGCTAGAGAACATGCTGAACTTTAGGAACTTTGTGATGGAATTAGAGAGCATGATCAAAAATTTGATCGACTGCATATTTGATGAGATTAAAAATGTTGAAGAAGGTATTGAGGCAATTTATGCTTTACAACGCTTTAAACATAGAGAATCGTTGCGAGATTTATTATCGAGGAAAAGAGTGCAGGTGAGAAAGAAACGCAAAAAAACAAACTTTTATACAAAAAGATAAAAATAAAGATTCAAATATATATATACACACACACACACACACACACACACACACACACACACACAC